TAAATTATACAGTATATACAAGAGTTATATTTTAAATTCAATGGTACTCAAAGTCTAAGAACAGAAAAGCAGATACCATGCAAACCAAAACTATAAAAGACCTGGAATGGCTCTATTCATATTTCACAAAGCTTGAAGACAAAAAAGATTACTAGAGACAAAGAGGGATGTTTTGCTAAGAGGATCAATTAAGCAGAAAGATATAGCCATAATAAACACATCTGACATCAGAGTCCTAAAATACATGAAGTGAAAAGTCACAGAAATGAAAGGAAAAATAGTAAATTGACAATAATCACTTGAGATTTCAATACCTCATTCTCAATAACTGATCGAAGAACTAAACAGCAAATTAATAAGGATTTAAAAATGTAATCAACACTATCAACTCATTTTATCATATGAATATTTATATAAAACTCTACCTGAAAGTGGAATTTATGTTCATTTCCAGCACACATGGAACATTGTCCAAGATAGAGCATATGCATAAATCAAATCAAAATAAATTTAAGGATCGAAATAATAAAAAAGTATGCTCTCAGATCACTGAAAACAAAAGTAGAAATCATGATTCTTGAAATCAACAAGAAATCAACAATAGGAGAAAATTTAGAAAATCCACAAATACTTGAAAATCAAAGAATACATTTCTAATAACTTCTTATTGTTGATGTTGGTGTTGCTAAGTGCCACCAAGTCAATTCCAACTCATGGAGACCCCATATAGGGTTTCAAAGGCTGTAAAACTTTGTGGAAGCTGTCAGTCTCATCTTCTCCCACAGAGCAGCTGGTAGGTTTGAACTATCAACATTTCAATTAACATTCTAGTGCTTATTCTACATCACCACACTAGGATCTTTCAGTTAGCTGTTTCAAATATGGGGTGAATTTGATCATCTCTAAAGGAGCTCTGGCAGCGTACTGGTTACGAATCGGGCTGCAAACCATTAAGGACAGCAGTTCGGAACTATCAGCCGCTCCATGGGAGAAAGATGAGGCTTTCTGCTCCCACAAAGATTTACAGCCTTGGAAACCCTGTACAGGGTCACTATGGGTCGGAATCAACTCGATGGCACTTAACAACAACAATAAAGCCCTTTGCATCAAATCTTTAAAATCTATAAATCTAAACTCTGATATATTTCTACACTAAAATTAGAAGATAAGCCACAGCCATTTTTTTTAGCTACCAGTACCTACTTACGTTTAGTAAATAATGAAATTCAAATGGAAACATTTTCTTAGTTAAGAGAAAATGTTGAGTTTTACTTTAACTACAAATTAGAAAACAAAATATTTAACAAAATATAAAATATTCCAGAAAGACTACCAAACCTTGAAAAAGTCATCCAGTTGTTTGCTATTATAAAGAGCAGGAATGTTAGCAGAGAACTGTAGCAAATCTTCAGCACACTGTCTTCTCTCTTCAATAACAGTCTCATCAAATCGACCTAAAATTTAAAAACCAATCATTACTTAAGGAAAGAATGATGAAACACCAATTTTGATAATTTAGTCCAAAGATGAGAAAGCAGCAGTGGGCTTTTCATCACCTATTTGCTGTGCTTACTTGTAGAGTGGTAAGTACCACACCTGTCACGCAGAATAGGGTTGGGTTCCCCAATGGGGAGCCAGGAGTCCTGCTATAGTTAATGCACTGTACTACATAGTCGGTTTCAACCACAAGGTCGGCAGTTCAAGCTCACCAGTCACTCCACGGAAACCCTAAACAGGTTTGCTATGGGTCGGAACCAACTTGACGGCACTTAACAACAACAACTATGCAATCTTCTGAAAATTAAATCTAGTCTGTTAGAATCAGTAGTACTCTCACCAGAAGAGAAAATAGTGCTTCTGATAAAAGAAGCAAAAGTGTCAACTGATAAATAAATGGTGCATTCATAATCTCAAGCAAGTCAATGTAAGAAACTCATTTAGAAAGCTGGTGATGCGAAACCAAAGTTGAAAAGAAAATTTTAAAGAACTCTAATGATTTTCTACACTAATTTAACACTGTAATTACCTACATAATTTTCCCTCTTCTACTTTTTTTTATTTATAAAGGGGCTGAAGAGAGAAAATTATGAAAACATCTGTATATCAATGGGGTCAGAAACCTCAGCTTGTAGCAAAGTGCTTTTATGCTAAATTCCATGTGTGATGCTGTCAGCGTAAGTGACAGTGTGCTTGTGAGAGAAAAGAGACCACACACGGCACCAGTGAGCTCTCATTTACAAGGTGATCAAAAGGTGGCTTTTATAGAATGTCAAAAAGTGATACGTACAATTTGAATGCTGATAAGACATTTTCAAATATGATCATTTTGTACTGCTCTAAGGTCCAACTACCAGTTGGTATTTGTCACATGACAGGTATCATACTGATTGCAATACGGGTTTAAAAAAATACAAAATCAAAACAGTAGCATCATCACATATTTAAATGTTTTAAGTGGTCTTGCAATGTGTCAACAGAAAACTGAGGCACAAAAAGATTCCTATTTCTAGAACTCAAAGAAGAAAAAAAAAATGACACTGAACCACTAAAATACTTTCAAGTTCAATGTGTCTCGTGATTATGAATAAGTACCTATTTCATAGTACTGAAAGAAAAAGTTAAGACAGAGCTGAATTACAAAACTGTCTATAATCACTAACTGTAAAATCTTAGGCATATTATTTCCTCATTTGTAAAATGGAATAACAACAACAATGCCTTTAGTTACGTTCCCAGTCCCATGCCAGGGATCTAATAAGCATTTAATAAAGTATTATTATCATGCAATCTTTACCTTTTCAAGCACTGTCATAGCCCTGAGCATACAGACCATACTAACCAAACTTCTGTTGACTGGAGGAGTGAATCAGTAAAAATCTTTCTAACAAATCATCTTGTTGTTAAGTACCATCAAGTCGGTTCCAACTCATAGCAACCCTGTATGGGGTTTCTGAGGAGCAGCCGGTAGAAAATCCTTCTAACAAAAAGAATTGTCTTACAGTAAAACATTCTATACTAGAATGGAGTCATTAAGTGTGGGCTAATGGGCTGGACTGCAAAGTCGTTTGAACCACAAGGTCGGTGGTTCAAGCTCACCAGCTGCTCCTTGGAAACCCAATACAAGGTCATTATGGGTCAGAAATAACATTAGCAACAACAATTGAAATTCCTAAGTGTGAGTCCATAAATCTTCTAGGTCATGGTTTATGAATGGGTTTCAGAGATCACAATCCTGCAAAATTTCATATGCATTTTTCTACATTTTTAAAAGTCTCCAACTTTCATTAGCAACTCAAAAGAGCCCAGGGCCCTGAAGCTGACATATACACAGCACATGGAATTCAGCAGGCAAGTGACAGTCAATTAGAGAACTGCTATTATCCAGTACCAATCACTCCTCTGTCAGTTTGTCATATGGGTGATGCTGTGATGCTGGAAACCATGCCACTGGCACTTTAAATACCAGCAGGGTCACCCATGGTGGAAAGATTTCAGCAGACCTTCCAGACTAATACAGACTAGGAAGAAGAAGAAACAGACCACTTCAGAATAGTTAGGCATGGAAAACCTTAGGAATAGCAGAGGAATATTGTCTCTTCTGGTGCTAGAACATGAGCCCTTCAGGGTGAAAGGCACTAAAATACAACTGGGGAGGAGCTGTCTCCTCAAAGTACAGTTGACATTAATGACATAGAAAGAGTAAAACTTTCAAGACTCTCATTTATTGAAGGGACACAACTCAAAATGAGAAGAGACCGCTGCAAACATCCATTAATGATAAGAATGTGGAATATATAAAGTATGAATCTGGGAAAATTGGAAGTCATCAAAAGTAAACTGAAACACATAAAAACCAACATCTTATGCATTCATGAGCTGACAAAGACTGGCACTGGCAATTTAGACTCAGACAATCATATAGTTTACCATACCAGGAAAGACAAACGAAAGAATAGCATTCCATTAATCATTAAGAGGTAGCATATGGCACAGGGTAGGGAATAGACACAGGAAAGCTTGGGTGCTAGGGGCAGGGGGCAATATACCAGAAGGGAAAGGGGAATAGAAGAACAAAGCAGACGAGACAACAGTTAGACAGGTTCGCATGGGCTAAGTGGGACAGAGATAAATGATGATTTATGCACAACCTTGGAATAATAGGGCTTTGGGATATAGGAATTGAGGCGTGGTTTGAAAGGGTAAATGAGGAGAATAATGTTAAGATGCTTGGCTGTCTTTTAAATCTTGGTTTCCCTTGCCTACTATTGTGAAATACACACTTGGGGGAGGGGAAAGGAATAACCAGAAACACCACAATAGAAAGCTTGTAAGCCTGTCTTCTGCCTATAACTAATTGGAATACCTTAAAGGGGGCTACAAATTGCCCAGTGAAAGAGACCTCCTGTGGAGCTTGTGCATTACATAAGACCATAGGTGGAAACCAGAATCCCATCAAGGAGTGTCTGAGGTGGGAAATTTCCACTGGAAAGGATAAGTAGACCAGCCTGGAACAGCTAGAAGAACAGAAGATAATTCATGAAGAAAGACCAGCAGGAAAAATCAGAAACAATAATGGCAGTATGATTGACTGATACAAGACCAAGTAAGCAAGTAAGCTGTTCACCTGGGAGCCATCAAGGCAAGTGGTCGGGTCCCCTCAGAGCAAACTCCCTTCCAAGACTAAGAATCAAGGGGAATACACGAGCAGGCATGTGGTCTGGCTGATGACCACATTGGTCGATGAGGAGAAGAGGGGGAAAAACAGCAATGAGGTTGGGATCTAAGTCTGACCACATTCAGTAGACTCCTGTGAACCCAGAAGGAGACCTGGATGGCCAGCAGTTACAGCAAGACCCAGGGGCTCCTGGGCCCAGAGGGAGTGACATAGCCACAGAGGACTAGAGCAGAGAATGAAGCGTCCAGCTGATATGAAGTGTGGGGAGATGCACAGGAACATCCATACTTGTAGATAGTACCCACTTGGCCTGGCTTTGATGGCTGGATGATCAGAACACAATTAGAAGAGGAAAGAAGAGGGAAGAAAAAGAAAAAAGAGTAACCCCACTACAATGTGATGAACTTTACCTATACGTATGGATGTAATAGCTCAAAAAAGGGAACAAATCTTTACAGCAAGGAACACTCCCAACCCCTAGGTACACAGGGTTGACAGGGATGGGCTACTAAGACATGGGTTAACAAAATGGGGGAGTGGGGAGGGAGCCTATAAAGGCAAGAAGTGACTGGCTTGCAAGCTTTCAAGAGAGAGCCTAGTTCCAGATGGGGCAGGGGTAGGTAGAACCTCCACTGAATGATTTCCAATCTGTTGGGACCGGGCTGGTGAAAGGAAATGGGAATAAGACTCTTGTGGTATAATAGTGATTAATTGCCATCAGGTCTGACTGTGACACTAGGAAATGTAGAGGTAGATGTTTTTTGACAAAAGGAGGGGAGTGATTGATTTTGCAGCCCAGGAGCAGAGGTCCCTGGGATCCTCAAGTGAGAATAGCAGAGAGCAGTACCCTACCCACAGAGAGGCAGTGACGCTAGTCATGGAGACAGAGATGATGACATGGACAGATGGAGTGGCAGAGTGGCTGGGGACATGGGACTCAAGGAGGGAGAGGGGCTGTGTGCTGACAGCCGGAGGGGAGGGCCTGTGGGGTGTATCCTTTGGCTATTTGATGATGCATGGAGGGGACTATAATCATTGCAATGAAATGAAATACAATAGGATGAATGTAAAACTGATGTTCTCCCATGTAAACCCACATAATTCACAATAAGAACTTTAAAAAAAAAAGAAAGAAAGAAATGTCTGCTATAAGCAGCCACATGAAAATGTATAAATGCAAAAGGCAAGCAAAGGAGTATTCAGCAGAGAGTTTTGAACCTGAATAATCAAGTTCAAGGCAAATATTGTATAGCTTATAATTTTAGCCCTTTATTATGCAAAGTTGCCAATTTTACAAAGCAAAGAAATGTTTGGCATGTTTATTCAGTTATATTTACTGTTCTATGGTTTACTAAAAGATTAAACTGTCATGAAAGAGTCCAAATTAAACACGCTTTTAGATCGTCACTGGTAAGCAAAAGTTGACAGAATAAAATGTATTATTTCTTCACTAAAAAATCAAAAAGAGGTAGCATATGATCAAGAGCCAATGATACTGAAGGAAGAAATCAAAGGTGCACTGAAGGAATTGGCAAAGAACAAGGCAACAGGAATTGATGGAATAAAAATTGAAATCTTTCAACAAAGTGAGATAGCACAGGAGGCACTCACTCATCTATGCCAAGAGATTTGGAAGACAACTATCTGGCCGACTGATGGAAGAGATCTGTATGTGTGCCCATTCCAAAGAGAGGTGACCCAACAGAACGCGGAAATCATTAATCTCTTTGATATCCCAAGCAAGTAAAGTTTTACTAAAGGTAATACAGAAATGGCTGC